AAAAAAACTCATAGATACACTATCCTATATTGGCCTTAGAAAAATTTCCAAAATTAGGGTTCTATCTTCTAATATTAGAGGCAGCAAAGCAGAGGTCATTTTCCCAGGCCCAACACTGTTGCATGCTGGGAGTGGTGCCCATATAGCCCAGTGTCCTTTGGATCAATCAAATCTCAGTGTGTCAGGTTCAAAACCAAAAAAGTTCCCATGACCTTGTAATTAATTTCAACAAATTATGATTAAACAGAAGGAACTGTGAGATTCAAGTTAGGAGAACCAAGTTTGAATCTCTACTTTGGGACCTTCTAGTTGTACACCATGGACAAGGTACTAATCAGTTAACCTCCCTCTTCCCCTGTAATCTGTGGGTCTTGGCCTAAGTATTTAACCAACAGGGTGTCCAGGATAAAAAATCCATAATTTGTAGCTTTGTCAATTTCTATAGTTTCAATATTCCCATCATGGCCAATTTCAAGCCACCAAGGTGATGTCAACCAGCTTACTAACTTTCTAAAAATTTAACAGCTGTGTTCTCACAACCCAGTATGAGACAGCTCTGACAAACTCCTGCCTCCAAGGCTCAGCTTTCACATCTGATAAATTGAAATCATACCACCTCCCCCTAGCCATTGTCAAAATTGAGATAATGTAAGAAAATACCCAGTACAAGGTTATTAGCAGATATGAAGTATTTGATATATATTCATTCAACATTTACTGAGCACCTACTATGTAGCAGACACCATTCCAGGAAATGAATACTCAACAGAGAACATCTGCACACCTGGAGTTGGCATTCTAAATGGGAGCAATAAAGAGCCATGAAAAAAGACAGATGATTGATAGATTAGTAGGTAGATAACGACATGTAAGTAGGTAGGTGAGTAGACAGACACATAGAGATACGTAGATAACCAGTTAGTCTGGTAGTGATAAGTACCAGGAAGAAAAATCAAACCAGCTAAGGACAAGGGGACAGAGGAGTGGTGGAACTGTTTCAGATATGGTAGCCAAGAAAGACTTCACAATGGGGAGACATTGGATGAGAAAGCTGAGTGGAGGCGGCGCCTGTAGCTCAGTAGGTAGAGTGCCAGCCACATACACCCAGGCTGGCGGGTTCGAACCCAGCCCGGGCCAGCTAAAACAATGGCAACTGCAACAAAAAAATAGCCAGGCATTGTGTCAGGCACTTGTAGTCCCAGCTACTTTGGAAGCTGAGGCAAGAGAATTGCTTCAGCCCAGGAGTTTGAGGTTGCTGTGAGCTATGATAGCACAGCACTCTACTGAGGGTGACATAATGAGACTCTGTCTCGAAAAAAAAAAAAAAAAAAAAGAAAGCTGAATGGAATGAAGGCATGATAATGCTATGCCTCCCATATAATTATCTGTGGAAGAGTATCCCAGGCAAGGCAAGAGCCCCTGCTAAGCCCTGAGGCAGGTGCGGGCTGGGTGTGCTCCAGAGACAACAAGAGCCCAGTGGAGCGGTAGCCCCTGAGGAAGGCGATATGGGTGGAAAGTGCATAGGAATGGGAGCCAAGAGGTTGGGAAGATGTCTCAAGCACTGGCCATGTATTATGAGCCTTAAAATCTCTAGAGACGTGGCAGTCAAGGGCCAGTGACAGAGGGGCCAAGACTGCTGCCTCTCTGCCTTCCCTACGGGGAGGAGGAACTACTTGTTTGCTGATACAGCCTTGTTCTTTTCAACTATGTAAATGTTTGCTCAAATGACAACTATTAACCTGATGGCTTCCATTTGCAGACACCATTCTTGGCTCTAGAAATAGAAACTGCAGGCAAACTGAGATCTTCCTTCTCATGTACCTGCCTGGCCATTCATGAAAGGACACAGAGTACACCAAAACATGAAACAAACCCACTGACTGAGCTATGAAGACAATCAATCAGTGGGCTGATAGAGTCCCCTTTAGACATAAAAAAATCCTTCCAGGCTAGACACTGCCACCCCCGATGTGTTCCCCCTGTTCTATCACAGTGCTAACGGTGCTCAGAGTAGTACTGCTCTGAAGGAATGGTCACCAGCAGCAACCAGAGGAGGCCAGCAGCTGCCCAAGAGTCAAGAGAGGTCCCATTGTTCTCCTGGCCTGGACTTTTTTCAAATCTGAAAATTGATGAAATGCCAACTCCTTATATAACTAAGAAATCACTAAGACATGGGGGGTTTGTTTGCTTGGTTTGTTTCTATTTGTTGTTTTTGAAATGTTGTTCTTAGGCCCCCTGCCACAAAGTCATCCGGGGTTTTTATGAAATGAAATGCAAATTCCTGTATCCCAGCCCAGGGATACTGATTCAGACCCACTGAATCAGAACAGCTGGAGAAGGAGCCCAGCAATCTGAATCTTCAACAATCTCCTAAGGAACATGGAGGCTGCACTGCTGACATTTGAGGTCTGCTGCTCTAAAGCAAAAGTAAAGTGTATAAGGCCTCTTTTCATTTCAGTTGCAACTGTCTCCACAAAGCCTTCTTAAGACCGCTGTTATTTAAACTTCCTCTGCAGAAACTCTGCAGACCCAGTCACAAGCTAACTTTGTTTAGAGAGATGCAATGGGAGACAGAGTCCGCGTGATGGGGCAGCCCATCAACAGATCCATTCATTCAGAAGATTCCACGTGCAGAGACACCGGATGGCTTCCGTGGTGGGGAGCTGAAGGAGAGACTTTCTGGAATATTCCCTACCTGTAAAGAGGGCATGGTAGTGAAGGCCCCTCTCCTTGTCTCCATGGGAGCAGACATCAAATAAGTAGGCTTTGATGGGCCCATCAATGAAGTCCGCAGCAAAATCAAAGAGAACCACACCTATCATGGTGATGCTTATGGCCCAAACCCGCTTCCTCCTTGGGTTAGCAATCAAAGCTAAAAGAGAAATAAACATCGGTCTCCTAAATCCTGCTTTAGAATGAACTCCCTGTCATCAAATCATCTCCCTTGCTTTCATTTTGCTTTGTTTATCTAAGTAAAAAGGGCTTCAATATTTCTTTCAGGTTTTAAAAATCACACAAGTGAATGTCTGGAAAACACAGATCTATAGAAACAGAAAGGGAATTAGTGGTTGCCTGGGGCTGGTGCCCAGGAGGCAATGGAGAGTGACTGCTTGTGGGTGATGGGTTTTTTTGACGGATGATGAAAATGTTTTGGAATTAGAGAGTGCTGATCATTGCAAAACTTTGTGACTATACTAAAAAGCTATACTAAAAGGTTTGTAAGCTTTTAAATAGCATAATTTCTGGTATGTGAACTATCTCTTTAAATGTTTAAAATTAACATTTTAAATGAAAATGTTTTGGAATTAGAGAGTGCTGATCATTGCAAAACTTTGTGACTATACTAAAAGCTATACTAAAAGGTTTGTAAGCTTTTAAATAGCATAATTTCTGGTATGTGAACTATCTCTTTAAATAATAAATTATGCATGCTTATTATAAATGAGTCCAAGGATATAGAAAAAGCTCAAGGGAATGTTTCAAATCTTAACCCCAACAAAGGTCATCTTTGGAGACATCCCTTTATACACTTCTGCACATACAGATGCAAGGGTACAGTGATACCCAAATGCAGTACTTCTTAAATTTTGTGCTTAACTATCACCTGGGCAATGGCTGCACCTAGTTCCCAAGACTCAGATTGAACAGACGGGCCTGAAAATTTGCATCTCCAATAACCTCTGCTGCCACTGCTGCTGCAGCTCAGCCCCACCTTTGAATGGCACTGATGACAGAGATACTGTAAGTACAGACTCATCTTCGAGAACTATCCAGAAAGTATCCAGCCAAGTCATGAAAAAATAGAGATACATGGCTACTTTCCAGACAGCCCTTGCATAACCAACTTTCTCTATGTCTTTTCATTTCAATGAATAAAGAGCTTCTTCACAAATTTTACCAGCTAAATAATATTCATCCTGTGGGTAGGCTGCAATTCATTCACTCAGTCTCCCAAATTGTTGTTTCCCTTGCTGCCCGGGAAGCAAAGTTTAGTTTTTTAAACTTAAGAAAGAGTGACAATATTCACATTTTTTAATCATCACAGTACAAAATAAGAGAAAAATCAGCCTGTGCTCCACTTTTCACCACCAGCCATTTAGCACCCTTTCTTAGAAGCAATGATTTTTACCAGCTTTTTGCTCATTCTTCCAGAAACATCCCATATTTGTACATTTATGCCTTCTTTTAAATATACACAAATAACAACTGATTACCTAGCCTCAGAATCATCCATTCCGCTATCCTGAGAATTAATGGTCCAAACATGTGTACTATTTTTAAGTTTAATGATACTTTTTTCAAAGCAACTTTCATGTATTACCACCAATCATTGGTTAATTGGTAACTAATTAATGGCTAGAAAAAGTGCCTACCATCAGGTTTGTTTTTGTCCAGAGTTTACAATGGAAAAACGTTCCACTGAACTGACAGGTTGATGCCCTGTACCCATTAAAGGTTTTACATAAAACTATGAACAAAATTAACTCTCATTTAGACAGACAGGTGACTTGTTTATGGAGCTATTTGGCAGCTGATCAATTTGATAAAATAGTAAATCAAACAGAATGGGCTCAAAAAGAAACAATTGATAAATACATAAAAGTAATTAATTTGGTAAAATAGATAAAAAATTTAGTTCTATCTTAAAACCCTCACAAGAAAACACAAGGCATGCTGATGTTTCCAGAAGTTGAGGCTCCCTAACCACAGAATATGGGTCATATGAAGGAGGAAGTTCTCTGTAACCGAGGTGAAATTATCAATTCTAACCAATTTCCACTAAGTGTCAAAGAAATTCACATTCTCCTGCTATGAAGTTGCACAGTAGGACACATACCCCTGCCTGCCCACCTTGTGAGGTCCACTTACCTGATGTAACAGTGTCCCCATTGAGGTACAAAGCCAAACCCAAAAGCATGATGATGCCCAGGGTGAGGATGTAGGGTCTCCGGCGGCCCCACCTGGACCGGCAGTGGTCGCTGGCTGATCCGACCACAGGCTGCAGCAGGAACCCCAGGATGGGGCTGAGGAGCCACACCATGCTGTACAGACTCTTGGGCAGACCCACACTGAGCAGGACTGGGGTCACGTAAGCAGCCTCCACTGCATAGCAGAACTCCCGGCCGAACATGGCCATGCTGTGCATGATCAGTCTGCCCCGGGGTCTCTCAGGTGGCTGCACGGAGCCACAGGGGCCAACCTCAGCTAAGGATTTATAGGTGTGGAAACCAGCCTGCCCACTGTTACCACCCATGGCCACTGGGTGAGGAACCTTCCTTCCTTCGGGCCCACAGCCTCCTGCACTGTTCTCGGCTTTGTGCTTCAAACTGGATTGGACACAGAGCCTGGCTGAGCAGCCAGCAGAGATGGTCGGGCTGGAGGAGGGGCTCAAATTCTTTCATGCCTCTAAGATCACAAGTTATGATGAGAAGAGAGGGGGTGCTGGAAAGCATGACAGAGATTAGCTGGTGTGAGCCCTCCGGCTCCTTGGAGAGTTTAAGTGATTTTTTAAAGGGATCTTCCTTTGCACCATTCTTTCTCTTTCTCTTTCTCACTCTCTGTCTCACACACACACACAAAAGCACAAATTACACATGATCTCACACGTGGCTTGGAGATAATAAAGCCTTGTTATACAGGGATTAAGTACAAATATTAATGAATTGATATCATTTTACAAACTTTTCAGAGACACAGATATTCTGTCTTTTCCTAACTCTAAAGTTTTCTATACACACAGCTCAGGAGTCCTAAAATCACTAGCTGTCTTGCAGCACCCTGATGTTTCCCTCCTTGCTTATAATAAATTTTATAATTAAGTAGTTCTGCATTTATTCCATATCCTATGTCAGTCTTTGATCTCCTTAAGAGTAGAGATCAGGTTGGTTTTGCTCACCAGCACCTAGGGTAAGAATGACACCCGGCACCTAGTAGGTTTTCAATAAATATTTGCTAACAGGATTATTGAATGAGTAAAATACATGTGACTATCTGTGGAGCCACTCAACGGCTTGTTTGCTGTATTTCCTCCCAAGCACTTTATCTTAAGAGACTACATTTCCCAGGTTCCCTTGCTTTCTGGGTTCTCGTAGATTATAATGGAAGGCATTGGTAGGAAGATGGGGGAGGGAGCGGGAGAAGGAAAGAAGCCAGGGTGTTCCGTGGCTCTCTTCCACCTTCCTGAGGTCTCCGGTAGTGGCTACATCTCCAAGGTGTGTCCAGCTTCCCTGAGGGGACCTGGGCTTCTGGGTCCAGGTAATACCAACTTTCCCATCATCCTTAGAGCCCTAGGATTAATTCTGGCTTCCTATTTTTGCTCACATGACTCCTTATCCCCAGGTTTCTCTGCTCTTTCACCACTAATGTAATTCTCTGTATAAAATTTCCTCTGTTTTAAAGACCTTCTGTGGGTCATACATTTCTCACTGGACCCTGATTTCAAATGAAAAATTTGAGCTGTAGAGGAAACATGAACTTATAGGAAGGGCCCTAAAAAAGTCACAAGAACAAGACCTGGGATCAGAATTTTAAATTTTACATTCTATTTCTTCCTCTTTCAAGGTGTACATCCCTGGGCAAATCACTTTAACTGGTGTTTCTCAAACCACTTGCCAAGGTACCCCAGACATAACAGTGAACTCACAGGGGTCTCTTGAGATATTTAGATATGTAAAAATACCCCTGTGATTGAAGAACAGTTGAGATGCTGTATGTCATGAACCTTACTGACTGCCTACCCAACATCCATTCTCCACTCCCTCCATCCTGATGGAACCTTGATTAGATTCGGGATTCCACCCCTCCCTCACATGCCCACATGCTTTGGGAAGCTGAGCCCAGGGCAGCCCCAGGAGCAGGTGGTCACTACCTAAGGAAGATCTCTACCGAAGAATGGTATGCAATGACTTGTAAGCTAGTTCAAGGAGACACGAGACAAGGTTTGCTGAGGGCTCCTGAGATCTCTTTTTCTGAATGCTGCTGTGTTTGGGTATAAGATACCAAACTTGCTACCAGCCTGAGGCTAAAGCAAACACAAGGAGAACAGGAAGTCGCCAGCCAGGAGAATTGCAGGAAAACTGGGCCACCCTTTTAAAACTCACCATCTCCCCGGACATCAGGTAGACAGTCAAGTGTGTCCTTCTTGTTTTGGACATTGCTACTTGCAGCTGAAGCCAACCCAATTTCATGTAGGAGAAAGTATTTTACAAATCATGAAGTGCAATGTAATTGTTGCTGAAGCCTGAAATTTTACTCAGAGGGAAAATGTGGACATGAAGACAAGAGGCCTAAATGCAACCAACTGCCCTGTTCTGTGTCCCTTGTTTTATCACCATATAGTATGCAGCATCTCATCACTTCCTACATCACAGTATCAAGTGTGTAAACAAATGCTGATCAGACTACATCTTCAAGAATGTAATTCCTCTTCTACTAGAATTTGCCATCTTCAATTGCTCACTTCCCTTCAACTCTCCTGAAAGCTTCCTATTTTCTCCTTACCTGCTCCCTTTCCTGTTTCTAAATTTATAGTTTGTTAAAAGACAAGTGGAAAAAAGAAAGGTGTAGTCTTTTCTACACAGGCTGTTTTAGAAATCTTCAGAAGGGGCTCAGCACCTGTAGCTCAAACAGGTAAGGTGCCAGCCACATACATCAGAGCTGGTGGGTTCGAATCCAGCCTGGGCCTACCAAACAATGACAACTACGACCAAAAATAGTTGGGCATTGTGCAGGCACTTGTAGTCCCAGCTGAGGCAAGAGAATCACTTAAGCCCAGGAGTTGGAGGTTGCTGTGAGCTGTGACACCATAGCACTCTACTCAGGGCAGCAGCTTGACGCTTTGTCTCAAAGAAAAAAAGAGAATCTTCAGAAGGTAAGTATGGGTTACTAACAAAAGCTACTAACCTTGCTCATGTATGTTTGGTCTTTTAGAAGTTCACAACCTACAAAAAACAATGTTTCATTTAAACATTTTGTATAAAGTCAGTTGCAGAAATCAATATTCTAAGATAGCTCATCTGTTTATTCACAGATTTTTGCCAACTTGCTTTTATCCTTTCCCTCCTCAATCCATTCAACAGATATCTTTTCTGAGAACTCATTATAAAAGACTTGGTTCGTATCCATTAGGACAGTGCTCAGAGTGCAGGCATTGAACTGGAAGCATTATAATCATTTGGAAGTTTGACAGAAATGCAAATTAACAGGTCCTGCCCTAGACATACTGCATTAGAATCTCTGGGGATGAGGCCCAAGAATCTGTTTTAGCAGTATCTCGAGATGATTCTTTTGTGTGAAGAATCATTCTTTTGTGTTTCGGGGAACTGAAGGCCCAGTGAAGAGTTTTGTACACAAAAGTAAAATCAATTACTACCCTTGGAGATATGAACAAAGTACAATGGGAAGAAGCTAAGAATTACTGAGCACCCACATGGTCAGACATCTCAATGATACAAGTGAAATTTGAACCCAAAGCCCTTGTGACTCACCATTCATAATCACTTATATAAAACCGCCCTTGAGCTGAGGAGCACAGAAGTTTCACAGAGAAGCCAAGTCTGAGTTTGCTACATCAACAAGCTGGAGCAAAAGCGATATTGTTAGTCCTGGAAAATGAGGCAGTGTCTGGAAAGGAATGGAAATAAGAGACCCCATCATATTTAGAAAATTCAGGTAGGCCAACATTTCCTGTTGTAGAACAGGGGATAGGGAGAGGACTAGGCTGCCAGGGGGAAGTCTTACTTTAATAAAGGGTTGGCACGCTATGTCAATGAGCTTATGTCTTACTCTGTAGGGGAAAAGACCACCACTGAAGAATTTTGTAGGAAAAACAGTCTGGTGTCACAAAGATTACCAGCAGAGTAACATGGTGGGGAAAAGGCAAGGCAGTAATACAAGAGGTAAGTACAGGTAGGCCAACAGAGCAGAAGCCCAGGGAAGAGACAAGAGGGCCTGAGTGGAACCAGCAGTGGGGCTGGGCAGAGGAATGGAGCCAAGAGTTGCTAAGGTGGATCTTACTATTGGGATCTACTTGTTTAATAATTAAGGACTAAGTTTCCACTACAGACCCGGGCACTAGTCTGGAACTGGGGATTTAGCAATGAAAAAAAATGCTTAAAATCCTTACCAAAGCTTCCTCTCTGGTATGTGGTGGTGGGCTGGAGTAAAGGGCTGGGGCTAATAAAACATGATGTCAAGAGTAATATGTGGCATGAAGAAAAATAAGACAGGGTGAGGGTATGCTGAGTGCCAAGGGAGCTGCTACTAAGATGGGGTCGGGAAAGGACTTCCCACAGGGAGACCAATTTGGGCAGCACTAAGGGGAGTGAGGGTGAGCTGAGGGCCCACAAGGGAGTGAGACACAAGGGAAATGTAAGTAGGGAACCGGTGAGAGGAGGAAGAGCCTGCCAGGACCTTCAAATGGAAACAGATCTGCCAAGAAAGAGGCACGGGGCATGGTGCTAAGGTGGGTAGTGCTGACAGACAGCTCCACAGACCAGTCAGGCACCCAGTGGGGCCGGCTAGGTGGAGGGGTGGGAGTTATCTGAAGGAAACCCTAAGAATATCTGCAAATATTCCAGTTCAAAGACACAAACTGAATGGCGTCTTTGTAAAATTAAAACGGTCAGACTTCTCTAAGGACATTCATTTTGGCAAACAGTAGAGCCCAAAATACTTCAATGATTGACAAAGTGATATTTAAATGGTATTTAAAGGGCTTTCTTGAAAGCTTTACACGGACTTAAAAGCACAAGTATACTTTAGGGGAAAAGAGTTTTATTTAATAAAAACATATATTAATTTGCTGAAAAATAAGTATATAGGTATCTTAATGTCAACAAATACATTCTACCAAATAACTGGAAGGCAGAGAAACTGCCACAATTTAGTAGAAGTATGTAAAGCGCTTCCAAATCAAAAGCCCTGATGCTAAGCACTCTCGACGTTCAGTCATTACTGAGACTGGTCAGTGTCTTGCTGCGTCTTGCTGTGTCTTGATTAGGCTGCTCAGACCACCGTGATTCTGCTCCTCCATGCTCCCCTGCACCCCATTTTACATGCTGTTCTTTACTGTGAATGCAGCATTCCGATTCACCTGAGCTGTGGGCCGAGAGTCAGAGGTTAGCTTTTAGTTTATTACTTTCAATGATTTTATCTGCATTAAGCTGATCAATCTCTTCCTGGCTGAATCCAAATTCTTTAAGTATCTCCTCACTGTGTTCTCCTACTAAAGGATCCCTTTTCAAAGAAGGGATGGCAGGAGTGTCGGACAGCAGAGGTGCAGGGCGGGGACTCACGCCCTGCTCCTCGTCAGTGATAAACGAGCCCCGTTCCTGGTTATGATCATGATGGGCAGCCTCTTCAAAAGTCAGAACCGGAGTCACACACGCATCTGTGCCATCAAAGATGTGACACCACTCTGCTTTTGTCTTCTTTGCAAATACATCTACAAACAACTTCTTCATTTCTGGCCAATGCTCCGTGCTCATCTGATGCGGAAGTTCATCTGACTTCAGTCCAAGGCCTGAGGGAAAAATACAGTCTCTTAAATTACTGTGCTTTCGGTAGAGTGATTATAATCAATAAAAATGGATGTTGAGCCACCATACTGTCCTGAATAAGAAATCCAATAAGGGTTTCTCAAGTGAGTTGAAAAAAGCCACTCAAAATCAGTTTGAAGTTGGATCCAAGGCTGCAGAGGACACAGGGAGCAGGTGCGGCAGGACTCAGAGCGAACTTGCCACTGCTAACTTGCATTTCATTAGAGGAAATTTGCCATAGCAAACTTGCATTTCATCAAAAGCAGTCTATTTTGAATGGTGTAGTTGACAGAAATTGATTTCTTCCCTGAGTAGGTTTCCCAAAAGGAATTGCCTCAGGATATTATCTGTCCTACTGAATTAAAGCAATCTTGTATTTTATACCATGCACCCAAAATTTATAAAAAAGAAAATTCAAACAATTTTACACTTGACTGTTTTCAAGGAAAAAGCCTAAAGACAAGTGATAAAATTCAGGGCTGCAATTTTATATGTAATATTCGTTTCTTTTTATTTTGGTAATGAGCTAGAATGATCAGATGCCTGGCCTCTGTCGTAAGTCCCAGTTACTCGGGAGGATGGCTTGAGCCCAGGAGTTTGAGGTCAGCCTCAAACAATATAGCAATATAGCAAGACCCCAACTCTAAAACAATTTTTAAAAAGTCAGTGAATAATGAATGAACGTTTAAATAAATAAATAAAAGAACTTGAAAGGGGTTCTGTAGTAGGAACAAAGGACTTGTAAGGTAGCCAAAGACTCCTGCAAACTGTTCCAGTAGCAGAATGACAGGAAAGTGTCAGCAGCCACTGAACGGTGGGGCATGCAGACTTTCCTCTCAGGCACAAGGGCCCACCAACACCACAGTGCAGGAGAAACAGGAGCAGCCACCTGGGGATTTACCAGGAAGGATGGCATTTCTAGTTCAAGGTTCCATCTGTGCTTCCTTTACTGACCATGTGAGCCCACCCCAGCAGAGACACCAGATGCCACTGCTCATTAAATTATGCCCAAAGACCACTGTACAAGCATTTAGTGTAAATGTCACTTTGCTTCCCTCATATAAAATGGTTTTTAAATGCAGACAGTTAAGTGTCAAATGATAATGAAAGGACCTTTTCCTTATGCATAAATGTTCAACCTGAAAAAACAGTAACAAATAATAAATTCACTAACAGGAATATCTCAACAGCAGGAAAAGAATCACAGGGCTCAACGGAGATTATCAAGTCTGAGGAAGTAAAAGAAAAAATAAAGAAAAATGAACACAGTCTCCGAGATTTGTGAGACACCAGCAAATACACCAAAGTATGTATTAAGGAAGTCTCAAAAAAGACAGAAAAGACAGAAAGAAGTCTTGAAGAAATAATGCCTGAAAATTTCCAAATTTGATGAAAAACATTAATGTGCACATCCAAAAAGCTCAAGGAACTCAAGTAACATAAACTCAAAGATCCACACCTAAAATTAATAAATAGGAGCTCAGTAAGGTAGTAGGACACAAGATTAGTACAGAAAAACCAATTGCATTTCTATACAGCAGCAATGAACAATCTGAAAATGTTCCCATCGACAGTAACACCAAAAAGGATACTATTCTTCAAAATTAATTCAGCCAAAATTAATTCAGTTATGCACTGAAAACTACAAAGTATCAATGAAAGAAATTTGACCAGACATGGTGGTTCACACCTATAATTCCAGTACTTTAGGAGGCCAAGGTAGGAGAACCAATTAAGGCCAAGAGTTTGAGACTAGTCTGAGAAGAACAGTGAGACCCCATCACTACACACATGCCCATAGGCCCAGCTATTCAGGAGACTGAGGTGGGCAGATCACTTGAGCCCAAGAGTTGGAGATTGAAGCCTGGGCTACAGAGCAAAGCCTTGTCTCTAAAAATTAATTAATTAATTAATTAATTAATGGACAGTAATCCATGATCATGGACTAGAGCAGCGGTTCTCAACCTGTGGGTCACAACCCACAGGAACTGTATTAAAGGGCTGCAGCATTAGGAAGGTTGAGAACCACTAGACTAGAGGCTTTATATATTTATTTGTTTGTTTGTTTATATATTTTACAGAGGAGTCTTACTATGTTGCCCAGGCTAGTCTCCAACTTCTGAGCTCAAGCAATCCTCCTGGGAAGGTTTACTTTTCTTAAGATGGTAATACTCCCCAGACTGTTGTACAGATTTAAAGTAGCTCCTATCAAAATGCCAGCAGCCTTTTCTTCCAAAGCTGGAAAGTTGATCCTAAAATTTATATGGATTGAAGGGATCCCAAAGAGCCAAAATAATCTTTAAAAAGAACAAAGTATCCAACACTATAGGTGTGAAAAGTAATAAAATCACTGACTCTCTCACACAAAAGGAATTATTATCTTTCAAAACCTTCAGCCATTGTATAGATTAGTAAAACTTCCTGTCAGTTTCAAAGATGGGCAAAATGCCCTGCAATACACTGATGGCTAAAATCAGGCTAATTACAAACTGGATATGCATCCTGGGTTTAGGCCAGGCGCGTTGGCTCATGCCTGTAATCCTAGCATTTTGGGAGGCCGAGGTGGGTGAATCGCCTAAGCTCAGAAGTTTGAGACCAGCCTGAGCTGGGGCAAGACCCCCATCTCTAAAAATAGCTGAGGTTGTGGCTGACGCCTGTAGTCCCAGTTACTCAGGAGGCTGAGCAAGAGAATCGCTTGAGCCCAAAAGTTAGAGATTGCTGTGAGCTATGATGCCAGAGCACCCTACTGGGGTAACAAAGTGAGACTCTATCTAAAAAAAAAGGGGGGGGGAATAACATGAATCGTACAAGGCACCAAGACAGAGGCTAACGAACATCCACAGCAACGTTACTTACCTTTGAGCAGCAGCTCATAGAACTGGGGCTCCAGTGCTCCCACAGCCATGAACTCCCCATCTGCAGTCTTGTAAACTGTATAGAAAGGTGCTCCCCCATCCAACAGGTTTTGTCCTCGAGGTTCCGACCACAATTTTTGACTTTTCCACAGAAAAGAACTTAGATATGCTACTCCTTCCACCTTTGAAAAAGCAAAATACAATATGAATCAACATAACTCAAGTGTAAAAACAAGATTAATTCCTATTTGGGACTTTTAAAAAGTTGTGTAAAAATACTTGTCTTGGAAAATATGGAGAGGATATCTAATTATACAGCTTTGATATTTACCTGGATGGAATTATAACATTTTTCTTAGTAAAGTATCTCAAGCATGGAAAAAGAAATATCCAATGTACTCAATACTAATATGAAACCAATGTATAAACAATTACACGCCCACACGAATGATGAAATACAATTATAGTCTAGCAAGGGGAAGGGGAAAGTAGGGAGAGAGGAGGGGGGTGGAGGGAAGGCACTTTGGTGGGATCCCACCTAATGTGCATAGTATGAGGGTGTTCAGCATGCCCCTTGGGTGAAGGGCTACAACATAAACCTTATAATTAAAAACAATGTAACATAAAAATGTGTACCCTCATATTAATTTGAAATTTTAAAAAAATAAATTAACTGGGCTTGGTGGTGTGAGCCTGTAGTCCCAGGTATTTGGAAGGCTGAAGAAGGAGGATCACTTGTAGCCAGCCGTTTGAAGTTGCAATAAGCTATGATCATGCCACTGTTCTCCAGCCTGGAAGACAGAGAAAGACCCTGTCTCTGAAAAAAAAAGTAGGTGGCAGAAAGGGTCAGAAGCACTGCCCCCCCCCCCACCTGACCCTAAAGCTCCACCTTCCAATCTCTTCCCTCTACTGCTGCCTGTGGGCACTGTCCCCAGAGTCCAGAAAGAATGAACCGAGGCCTTGGGAGTATTGAGAATTTTAGGCTAAACACTTTTCTAGTGATAATTTAAATACATGCAATTGATTATTTATAGTCAATATAAATAAAAGGTGATTGCTGCTTTCATCAGAACGTATCTAATCAGAATTACATAATGATTCGGAGATAGTAAGACATTAGTATATATAAAAATGTAAACTTTCTTCAGGTTCATCATGGCTAATTACTTAAGGCCAAATGAAATCAGAAATTATATTAATTACTTCTTTATTGCTGGAAACCCTTGTTCACACTTGTGAAAGCTGAATGGGGAAGAAGCAGACGCTTTCTTCTTTAGGACAGCAGTTTTCACAACTCCTTGGCAGCAGCAAAATCCTTGACCCTGGCCTGTGTGTGAAGAGCTGGAATCTGTCTTTTCATAGTGCTATTTCCTTGTAACTGTGGCAACTATGCAAATGGGTGGCCCATCTTGCTGTATTTACCCCTGATCTGGGGGGCACATCTGGCCTGAAGTGCTGAGGTCTGGCCTGTGGGATGTTTGCCTGTATGATGGAGAGGTTTCAAATGCTGGTAGGCAATTGAGGCTGCAGTTTCCCTGTGTCAAGGAACTCTCAGCTGCAGGTGAGGGGGCAAAAGAAACCATGTGGCTGAGTAGCTACTGCCAGGCCTCATGATGAAATGGTAATTATTCCTGCTGTCTTTTGTCCTGCACCCTCCGATGACACTAAGTAAAGACAAGACTAGAACAGAACCTGGTTCTGTCCTGACTGGGCCAAACCAGACCTGTAACTCTGTTAGTGCACCTGCATTTCAACCATCTCACCAGGACATCCAGCGTGTAAAAGAGATTAAAGGCATATTTTCTTAGCATAAATTTATTTTATGTTATGTTTACATAACGAATATTTATATATTATGCTGCCAGACCAATGAAGCTGTTTTGATGAACATAAACACATGAAGTCAGGGCTTATGGGTGATGGTCTCACCACGTCAAGTATTCAGTTTGTTACTACATTTTGTTGTGGACTCAATGTTAGGAAAATTCTGAGTCATGGAGATTAGTTAGAAATGTCTACAGTGTTTAAGTAGTTTGCTTCAAATTTCAGATTATGTTTCATTTATGATGAAGCAGAAAAATGTTTTGTTTCAAGGTTTACTTACTATGGTATCTAAAAACTTCTCACATTCTTCGGCCTGAACAGGAAAGTCCAATAAGCAGTATTCAGAATTCTCTGTTGAAACTACGTGTACCACCATTTAACAACCTAAGGGTTTTTTTCTGTTGCCCTCAAACTTCTGGGTTTATCTCTATGTCCTCAAAGTGTTGGGATTAAAGGCATAAACCACTGAGCCCAGCCCTCCACCTGCTTTAGAAGGCAGTTGACATTTCTGAACTTTGAAGTCTTCAGTGCCATAAAGCAGTCAGTGTATCTCCCTTAGGCAGGTCTATTCATCAGAGGGGGGAATGCCTGGTGGGGAGCGGCATAATGCTGGCCGTGACCTGCTGCTCTCTCAGACTGACACTGTGCCAGGATCATGTAGGAGCTGGACACATGGGAAAAACCACACTCTCTAGCTTGTTAAATACAAGGGGGGGAGCTCAAAGGGGATGTGAGATGTGCCCTGACAATAGTATCATAAGGCACAGACTCAGTACAGGGCTGGGTATGATTCACCCCCTAGGAGAAAGTAGCAGAGAGTCAAGGCTTCAGAGACTGGTAAGCGAACTTTATAAAGGTTCCCAACCCAACTGACACCTCGGCTTTAAACTCTTAAGATATCCCCCACCATTGACCCTCTAACCATTCCATTTCCTTGGTTTCCAGGACAACACTCCCTTCTGGTTCTCTACTTTGTCCTCCTATCCTTTGCTTCTCTGCCCAGGCTGCCTTAAACACAAGTGTTTCTGTCCCCTTTCCCAGTGGACCACACAGTCTCAGGTGGCTCCCCCACTACTCCCTAATGGCTCCACAAACTCTTTCCAGTCCCTAACCTCAAGGAATTCACCCAGATATCTGAAACGCACTTCCAACCAGAAGTAACCAAAAGTGATTCCTTTTCTTCTTATGGAAATAATCACAATGACAACTCATACGGAGTGCATGCCCTATGCCAAGCACTGTTTGCACACTGGACAGCAGATGAACTCACCCTATTCTCTAACAAAGCTATGGAGTAGATGGCATTATCTCCATTTTACAACAGAAACTGAGAGATAAGTTTAGTACTGTATTCAAGGCCTGGTAACTGGCAAGTTCGGGATGGAAGCAGCTGGCCGCCAGAGTCTATGCCTGTGACCACTGCTCCACTTCGCCTTGTTCTGCAACAGTCTTCCTGCCAGGTGCCAGCAACACCCACCATGAGGTCATCCACGTCAGAAATATGGGAGCCAGCCCTGAATCCACCCACTTCCCTCCTTGCCATTCCATGATCATTTCCCAGCAATTTTGTAGCTCAAATATCCGTTAAATCCAAGCCAATCCTACCCTTAACTGCTTTACTAATTGCTCTGATCTCTTCAGCAATAATCCAGTAACTGGGCTTTCCACCTCCAACCTTGTCTCCCTCAAATCCATTCTCTAGCCCACCTCCAAATGCCTGTGAAAATGCAAACACGTAGTGGTACTGACTGGACTCTCTTACCCACAAGCTTAGAGAACTTGGGCAAATGGCTGTGTTTATTTCCTCCTCTTTAAAATAATAATGTATTCCAAATGAAGTTGATGTTTTGAGGATTAGAAGAAATCACACAGGGAAAGCGCTCCGCAGAGCATGAGGCCAGCTCCCAATGTATGACAGTGAACAAACAGAAGCATTATATCATCAGACCATCCCCTACAAAATGCAGCAGGAAGGGCTAGACAGGAAGGTCAGTGTTATCTTGGCATCCTTAATAATGTTCTCTCTCTACTAAGAAAGACTTCTTGAACTCAGCTTTAAATGAGGATTGTTTGAAAATTATATTCTAAGCATAAGAAATAATTTTAGGAAAATTACTGAAATACAACACAGGGATCAGATGTGTCACAAAACATTTCAAGGAGTGACTCCACAAACAGATGATCAAAATATGACATTCTGACATATATAAAGGAGACTGAGGCTGTCTTACAGAAAAGGGCATCATTGCTAATTTGGAGTCAAACTTTAAATTCATTTATCTCTTATTCAAAAAGAAGTTTGAGGCAATGATACATTGTACTTAGGAATCAGTGGCAGGCTTATCAGTTCCCTCAATTAATACTTACCATATTTGCATCAATGACCTGACCTTTGCCAGAGCGTGTGCGTTCAAAAAGAGCCATCATAATGCCCAGTGCACACATGAGGCCTCCGCCACCAAAGTCAGCAACGAGATTTGGCGGGGCATACGGATTCTCACTGCTGCCGATTTTGGACAGAACACCTGTATCATTAAAAATAAATGTAATGTCTTTTTCAAACTTAATATCTCTTTTAGATAAATACATGAACATTTTAGAGGAATAATCAATCTCTCTAGTCAATGGCATAAATGAAAACTAGTACACTGACACTTTTCCAAATTTGAATCAATTTAGCAAACTTACAAATAGCCTGTCCCTCAAGACAGGCTCTTTATTTTGTATGATTTTTCTTCTCTAAAACTTTATTCTGACTGACATTCTCAAAATCTTATTGTGAAGTTTTTACTCTCCAAGTATTGGCAAAACCTTATTATCAATTTATACTATAGCTTTAACATGCACTTTCATTCTTATTAGAAAGAGATGCAACAAAATAATCAAAAACAAGAAAAAGAAAAGTGATTAGGGCAGTGCCTGTGGCTCAAAGGAATAGGGCACCCGCCCCATATGCTGGAGGTGGCAGGTTCAAACCCAGCCCCGGCCAAAAACTGCAAAAAAAAAAAAAAGGTGATTAAATTTTAAAACAGATGTGAAAAGCCAATTCTAGACCCATTGCTTTCCTCAACCTTTAAATGTGTAGTCATAAAATATCTGTGACCTCCTTTAGTCAACAATATACAGTTCTTAGAATTTTAGAATCAGGCCCTTCTAAAACATGTTCTCACAGGCAAAAATTCGAACAAAGTGATATCAGGACCTCAAAAACATGAACCATGGGCTTTTTCTAATGTTCATAGAAGTCTGAAATGATGACTCAGGCAATTCTCCATGGAGTTGGGAGAGCTGTCAGGATGAAACTATAGTATATTGATGTTTTCAAACTATAGAGCAATCATCCCTACTACCACTACATTTCTTAATTCCTCCAGGGGCTTAACTAAGAACTGACTCCATAAATGTAGCAAATAAATGTTACTACTGAGAATTTATTATCCTCGAAATGTGTTAAGATGGGGAGGTGGGAGGGTGCAAATAATTGTTCCAAGACCACACCAACCCATTTTAAACAACCAGGTCTTTCTCACTGATTCTGGCAAATATAGTAAACCGTCTGTACGTTGACCACCCAAGGGATGGAACAAATTGGTCAACATATGTAGGTTGTCAATATCAAGAACTAGGCCTATTGTACTGATTTGTGTGGTGCATGTTTGGTCTATGAAAAATAGGCCAACTTAATGAGGTAGTCGATGTAGGGAGGTTGTCAACAATGGAAATTCTACTGTATATAACTCTTTACCTTTACAAATTCTTGTTAATCATTGATCCTTACTAGAAACAAATAAAAAGGGTAGAAATATTTTTTCTTTCAACATACCTGACAAAGCCAAATAGTTGATATCATGACCAGCTAACCTGGAGAATCTTCCTGACTGGCCAAATCCACTCAGCCTGGCATATATAAGCTTCGGATTCTCCCGCTGCAGAATCTCTGGGCCAAGCTGGAGTTTCTCCATGACACCTTAAGAGAAAAGTAATAATTTTAAGAGATGAATTGAGGATGGGCATAATCTCTTCTCTGAGGAGAACATAAAATGCACTCTTGCAAGTAATACTAATAGCAACATTGGTTATGGGCTGATAGCATGCTTCTAGCAACTAAGGACCAAAAGGGAAAAATCACCATTTCTGAAATGGGTAGCTTCTGTGCCCAGTTATTTCTTCTGGCACTAGGTATACCAAGCCCACTAGATCCCCAAAGCAGCCATGACATTCCTCTAGTCAGCTGCTTTTTCCCCTGTATCTTCATCAATGCCTACCACCTCCCACCTTGTCCTGTGCTAATAATATATGCACTTACACATCTTCCCTATCTGCTCAGGGGCTCTTCTAGGCCCCTAATGTACCTAGTATCAGTACCCTCCCAAAAAGCCTCAGTATATATCCATAGAAAGGTTAGCTACAATAGCACCCGAGAGTGTTTAAGCTATTAAAACATTTATTACAAAACACACAGGCATTACAAACCTAAACCTAAAGTCTCCTGCCATTAAAAGTAATCAAGATTACATAATAAACTCAGTCTTTATCTTTTTAGGGTTATAATAAATAATAAGAACTCTATTCACCTCATTAACACCAGGTAAAAACCCCTCACCTGGAGGCTATGTCTATACTCACAGCTTTACCTTACTTGGACAAATTGTTTAACCATGCTGAGCCTCCCTCTTCTTCAAACAGGGAAACTATGAATTCATGACATGATCCTAATTACTAAATTATGATTGTTACAGTCTTCAAATACAGCTATGGAGGTTAGATGAGTAATACCATTCAAAAAGCCAGGTGTCCCATAGTGGACATTCAATTCATTCACCATTTACTGGCTTCCAGCTGTAGACCAAGACTTGAACAAAATTAGAAACTGTCTGAGACACGACTGGAGTGATGTTAGACCAAAACACCAGTTTTTTAAAAGTTGTCACATGACAGTACATTGATGTTTTCAGACAATAGAGCAATCAGCCCTACTACCAGTGGCAAGGCAGATTCAGCAGGTATGGAAGGAAAGAACCCCAAATCTGGTAAGAAGGAAGAATGACTGGATGCGTGATCACTCAAAAAAGGTGGGGTGAAAGTAAGATCAGAGAGCAGGATGAGGTACAGGTTGCAGCTTCAAGCAACCGGGTGCACACTGACTCAGTTCACTGAGATAAATTACACAAAGGAGATGCCACTGTAGGAGGGATGAGGAAAGGCTCAGTTTAGGATTTCTGAAGTCGCCTAGAGGAGGGCCAGGGGACAACGTCCAGGACCTGTGCATGCCAGCAGTCTGCAGCTATTAAAGAGTGGGGCACAGTTATGGATTTGGGAACCCAAATAGCTATCTATAAAAGGTGAAAACAATGGAAATGGATAAGGTGGCTCCAGAGAGTAGAGTACAAATAGAGAAATGAGATGATGCTGAAACTTGGGAACATCAGCATTTAAGGCAGGGAGCGTCAGCCCGGGTCCGCAAATGGTTTGAGAAGGTACACAACCCCAAAACAATTGCTAAATGACAATGTACCTAGACACAGCCTTCTGAGGAGATCATCTATGGCTTTCAATACATTCTCATAGGGCTCAAGACCCTCAAATAATGAAGACAGACAAATACAGGAGGGTTAACATTTAACAGGAAAACTGAGGGACTTAGAAGGAGTCAGAGTGGCAAAAAAAGAGCAGCATCTGTAACTCAGAACCCGTTATCTCAAGGCACGAATGAACTCCAACAATATCAAATGAGGAGGTTTCAGAAATGGTAAAACGGACAACAGTTCGTATAGCAATAGGGCAAAGGTGTGGACCAAATCATACTTCCAGGACCCTCCCTCCTGATAGTTTCTCTAGTGATAGATCAAACCCCACCCAGATAGAGCCCCGCGGGCCGGGGCTCACCGCGGCGGAAGGGCTCCAGCACCACGTCCGCCCGGGCACACAGGCGCCGCAGCACGGCCGCTCCCCGCGGCTGCTTCAGGTCCAGCACCAGCGAGCGCTTGCCCCGGGACAAGTGGCTCACGTCGCCGCTCCCGCCGGGCCGGTCCACGCGCACCACCTGCGCCCCGAAGTCAGCCAGGACCATACCGCAGAACGGACCCGGGGCCAGGCCCGCCAGCTCCACGACCTGGATGCCCCTCAACGGCATAGTGGCTCCCAGCTGCACCTGAACTACAAGACCCAGCGGTCTTTCATACCCCCACCGCCTGCCGGAGCCCTCCCCAGACCCGGCGCACCGCCCCTACTCCGGCGAGCTCAGAGCCCAATCGCACGCCCTCCTCGTGCGCCTGCGCGTGCCTGCGGAGTCTGCGCACTGGTGCGTTTCCCTGCGCTGCCGGCACGGCTAGCCAGCTGCGAGTCCTCGGGGCTGCGTTAACCTTTCTTCCGACTTTCAAGTCCAGGATTGCAGGGGTTGACCTTGGAACCTTTGACCTGTTACCGCCCCCTCAGAACGTCCTGATTCTCACCACTGCAATCCCCAGCCCTCGAGCCGTTTGAGCCCTGTCCCCCCCTAGAGAAATGAAAGTACATAAATGCGTAAGAACAATGCAAAGGGATTTCCTTCCCTGTGGTGCGGTCTATCTCCTTTCCCGCCCCTAGTTTTTAGCTGGCTACTGGATCATTTCATCCAGAAGCGGTTTGAGATCCCTCCTGCGTATGCTCCTATTGAGTTACAGACTTTGTGGGTTACACGTCTAAAAAATAAAAAGTCCTAGATATGCTAGGTGAGAGGTCAAAGACCAAAAATTAAAGATTATTTCGAGACAGGAGATGAAAGGAAAACAGGACCCAGGCTCTGTATGGGCGACCACGGCCTTTATTCCGCTCTGGTGAGGATGAGCTGAGTTCGAGAAGGGAGTCAGCACATCGATCAACAGGGAGGGGAATTTTAAAGGTTAGGAAGGTGGGGGTCGGAACATTCCCTTTCCAGGGTTGAACATTTGTTGGAAGGGTAGGGATTGGCCCATTTGCCTTTCCTAGGTGGGACGTTGTGGGGGGTGAGGCGGAGAGGATTAACCCATTCACCTTTCTTAGGTGAGACATCCGGTTGACGAGAGTAGGGGCTTGATTCTTTTAGGCGGGTCCACCCTATTTGAGTGGGCTTTGATCTATCACTAGGGAAACAGTGTCAGAAGATCGGAGATTGTGGTTAATGCTCATCAGAGTTAATTGAGAAAGTATTAGAGGGGAGGGGGGAGGTTTGATAGAGGGAGCATAAACAGTGGGACCACACCTAAAGAGCATATTGCAAGGGTTACAAGTCAAATCTATTAAGAATAGAACATAAATGTCTTAACACAATAAGTAAATGAGGTGAAAGCTATGTTGATTAGTTTGATGTAAGCGCTCCAAATTGTATAAGAAATCAACACGTACCCCACAAATGCATAAATGTATTCATGATCTATTTATATGACTTAATAAAAGGGAAAAAAAGGAGAGAAAGCATTAGAAATCTTGACTTGTTACTTGCCATCTCTATGAATTTCCAATTTTCAACTTTAGTGCACGATCTTTTTTAAAAGTACAAAAAAGTATTTACTATCTCAAATAGTTGGAATACTTTTATAAATCATTTTCTCTTTTCTTTGTATAATGTATGTGTAGGTGGCCTAGCATAACTTCTGGCATCTCTAAGAATTCGAATAGAGGCAGAAGTAGGTGCCAGGGAAATCTCTGCACTTATCCTTAGTATTAGTTTATGTATTTTGAGGCAGATGAACAAAGAAAAACTTAGCACAGTTGTACTCAAGATTTTTCAGGCAAGACGTGATGAACTAGAATTATTTCACATCCTCATAGTTCCCTGTGAGGAATTACCTTCCACTAGAGGCAGGTACTTTTTCTTATCCTCCATCTCTATGGCCTTCTTGCCCTTTCTATCTCATGTTCCTACCTTTCTTCAAGCATACGTTTCCTTACTCTCACCTCTTTCGTTTTTATTTCGAGAAACTTAAAAACAGAAAATTACAAAGAATGAGAATGCAGATATCCAGATTAACACATTAATATATCATCTAGACTGTACAGATATAGCTTGAGCTAACACCCAAGATCAAATTCACATGAATCAGAGATCTTACCTAGCATCAAGCTTCACTAATATTCTGAAAGATAAGGGTCATGAAAAGGTTGAGACAAGACAGGAGAGAGATCTGGGAAATCTCACATGACTCTTCAGATTGTTCTTACATGGGACATACACTCTTTCTTACAGACTGAATTATGTCTCTTCAAAATCCATGTGTTGAAATGAAAATGGAGCCGGGTATGGTGGCTCAAGCCTGTATTCCTAGCACACAGAGAGGCTGAGGTGAGTGGATTGCTTGAGCTCAGGAGTTTGAAACCAGCCTGAACGAGAGCAATACCCCATCTCTACTACAAATAGAAAAACTAGCTGGGCATTGTGGGGCACCTGTAGTCCCAGGTACTTGGGATGCTGAGGCAAGAGGATTGCTTGGGACTAAGAGTTTGAGGATGCAGTGAGCTATGACACCACAGCACTCTGTCTAGGGTGCCAAAGTGAGACACTGTCTCAAAAAAAAAAAAAAAAGAGAAATGAAAATGGAAACACAACATACCAAAACCTGTGGGATGCAGTGGCAATGTCACATACCAAAACCTGCAGGATAAAGCAAAAGCATTGCTTATGTTAGAGTAGGGAGTCAGATATGAGCGGAGAAGGAGGGAATGGGAAAGTCAGCCGGTTTGAACCAGCAGCCTCAAACAAACAGAAGAAGAAAGGAGTAATTAATTTCCCAGTTTGTACAGGTACAAAGTGACGTTTTTCTCATTATATCATAATTATATTAAACTAATATTATGGTTTTGATCCCCTCCCCTTTGTGGGACAAACAGGGGAACTATGAGTAAGAACTGAGGTTGGACAAAGTAAGCCCTGACCACCCAGCCTTCTTTGACTACAAATAAAAACATCAACTGTTCAGGGATCAGGGCAGTGGCTCCTGTTGAGGCTGCCTGCTCCCTTCCTTGGGAGTGTGCTTTCACTTTTTTGCACAAGTCTTTCCTAAGCCTGTCCACGTAACACTCAGTCAGTCTGCTATTATTGCTCAGTTGTGTGTGCATCCTGAAAATCTTTTCTACACTGTCAGCATGGACCTTTATGCCAGTGTTACTAGGAGGGAAGTTTATAGCAAGAAACATCAAAAAAGTATAAAGACTTCAAATAGCCTAAAAAAGTACCTCAGGGGCCTAGAAAGGCAAGAACAAACCAAACCCAATGTTAGTAGAAGGAGAAAACTAATAAAGGTCAGAACAGAACTAATAAAATAGAGACAAAAAAATTACAAAGGGCTCGGCGCCTGTGGCTCAAGTGTCTAAGGCGCCAGCCACATACACCTAAGGTGGTGGGTTTGAATCCAGCCCAGACCCGCCAAACAACAATGACGGCTGCAACCAAAAAA